AAATGACGATTTACCTCTATGGCGAGGTCCAGCTGTAAAGAAAAAGCCGCCATTTTTTAATGCGCGCGCGCTAATCACGCGTGAAATTATGCGCAGTGGAGATGCGCAATGCAATACTGGGAATGACCTTTACTGTCAGCGGGGAAATGAGGCGTTTTTGAACTGATAGCTCAGAATAAGGCTAAATTTCAAACTGGTAGCTGAAGACTTGCCAAGAATTTTACGACAAACTGAGATTCCAGCGACACCATCCAGGCCCTTAGTTTTTGCTGTTCGATAAAATAAAGCACTGCTAGTTTTTGCAATCTCCAAAAATCACAACAAGTTACCATTTCCAAAGATATTCTGAGGATCCACTGCCTGCTTGACACCTCGTAACATATCGATACCCACATCGGAAATGGTTTGACGAAGCCACTTCTTCCTCAGTTTACCAACACCGTGATGATGAGACAAGCTTCCACCATTGGCAAGAACTTCATCTCGAGCAGCACTCTCTACTTTATCATACAACTCCAGCGGATTGGCGAGCCCGTGATAATTGAAGCCAAAATAGAAATACACGCATGCGCCGGCGTCGTAGGTCTGGGTCACGCGGCACGTGGCCAAGGGAGGGTACTTGATCCCAAGCTCCGCGCATTTTCGCTTCAGCGCCTCTTTCACGTTGCGACACAGATCTGTGACTCGGTCCCAAGGCACGGATGTCTCAAACGACTCGGCGAGGAAATGATGCTGAAAGCCAAGGTCCCTGAGGTAGGCGATTACAAAGGTCAGCATATATCCTCTCTGGCCATTCTCTTCACCAGCTGGGATCCCACGAAACTGAGAGGCAATTTCGTAAATTCTCCTTTGTTGATCGGCTACTTGCTGCTTGTCCCCTTCAAACAGTAGGGTGGCCACCGCTATCTGGTGAGGGTCGAAGCCTTTAAACTTGGTCAGGTAGACAGCTTTTAAACCATCAATGAACGACTTGAAATACGATCCGCCCTCAGGTTTTAAAGCTTGCCCAAATACGAACTGTTCATTATCTATCAAGCGAATCGATGCTGGAGCACAGCGCTGTTTGGCAATCTCTCTCACACAGGCAACTCCGATATCAAACGTTGGGAACACTACGGAACCATACACCTTACACTGGGGCAGCGGACGTATTCGCAGGCTCACTTCGGTGACCACTCCCAGCATTCCCTCCGAGCCTAGAATGAAGTGGTGGATATCCGGGCCTGTGGACATCCGGGGAACTTGGCAGCTTTTCTCCACGGTCCCTCGTGGCGTCACCATACGCACGCGTACTAGAATGTCTTCAATGTTGCCATAGATGTTCTTCTTCATACCGGAGGCACGTGTAGCTACCCAGCCTCCCAGAGAGCTGAACTCCAGTGAGTCAGGCTCGTGTCCAATACAGAGGCCCCTGGCATTCATCTGAAAAAGACGAACCGTCAAAGTATTAACTGTTATAGCCCCAGAGATCACCAGTCTCCCCCCAAAAAAGGGAACAAAATAAAGATGGGCGTTACCTTGCATGATAAAGGAACAGAGAGAGACAAGACGGTTCTTTCCTTGCTCTAAGAAGGGTCAGACGTAACAAACCGATGAGGTTAGTTATGTCTGGTAAGGAAGTGCAAAAATTCTTCAGGAGAAAAAAAGATTCATTGAAAAAAATTATGTCAGGGCTGAAGCTAACGCAGGGGCAACGGGGGACAGTTTGTTTCTTAACATGCTTATCACAATTCCAAAATTTAAAAAAATGGGGTTTCACCAAGCTTTTTTTTGTCATGATCATACTAATTTTTAAAAATCATAACAGAAGTTCTGACTAGCGTGTTCAAACTTACTTAAAATACTAATACTACTTGGATAAAAAAGGTAGCTAAAACTACATATTACTGACCTGTCTTTCCAGTTCTTGCCCAATAATTCCTGCCTCAATATGAGCCACTAAGTTTTCCTCATCAACCCAAAGAATCTTTTTCATCTCTGTCATGTCTAAGGATACAATCATTCTCTTCTCTGCAACTGGACATTCAAGTGCATTGGACACACTGGTACCACCCCCAAAAGGAATAATGCAGACATTATGCTCCACCGCCAGTCGAACAATTTCCTCCACATCCTTGTGACAGCTCGGCCATATGACAATATCAGGAATCCTGTGGAGCATACCATGGCGCAGCTCAAATATCTCATGACAAGTGTGCCCGTGACCATGAAAGAGCCTTACATGGGGATCCAGAGTAAACTGCACTGCTGTTTCTTTGATACGGTCCAGGAATGGTTGGTTTAGCTGCACACTTGGTATAGTGCTTGGATCAGGGAGAGGCTTGGATGGAGAAGTAATACTTACATCAGCATGGCACTCTTTTGTAAACCACTGCACTAATTTCGGGAAAGAGTGTCCTCCAAGTATATAACGAGAACCCGTGAACTGAGCCTGCCCATCCTTGATTAGAAACTGCGAATCACTGTACCCCCAGCCATTCCACTTGAGAATATCCTGTCTGCCAGGATTCTTGTTTCCAGACTCTGGTTTTGCTTCTGGTGATATGCCTGCACAATTTTGTGTGGACGCAGTTGTTTGATTAGACTCATCCAAGTGGCCTGCTATTATTTTAAGTCTCCTATTGCTACTCATCTTGTACTAGGTTGTTGATGATATTCTGTGTAAAAAGTAGAAATTGAAATTTAACTCTCTTTTTAGAGCAGTTTACCAAAGAAGGGAGGTAGGTAAAGTCTGCATACAAGCCTAGAGACCCATCAGGCTGGAGCTTATCCTGGTTTCTGTAGCATGAGGCAGCTCCCCTCAGCGTTAAATTCACTAGTACTCATTTATACACTTAGTGGAGAGAGGCACTATAAGAGTTAAGTGTATTCCCCAAGAACACAACACAATGTCAGGCTGGCCAGGGCTCAAAGCTGGACCTCTCAATCTGGAGACAAGCGCACTAACCATGAGGCCACCACGCTTTCCAAAGTAATTCACATTATTTTGCTTTGGTTTTGCATTATGCCGTCACACCATTGGTTTAAAAAACACCTGCCTCTTGGTCATCCATTCAAAAGTAAAACAAAACCCAGTTGTGACCAGGTCATGTGTGTTATCTTATCTGTCACGTCTGCAATTTGTATTTACTTTGCATTTCGATTTTTTCGCTGGATTATCTGAATCCTTTGTGATTGGCCAGAGTGATAACTTTGGTTTTCATTTTATGACACTCAATTGAAAACTGCTAAAAAAAATTATAAACAATTAAAAGAACTATACAATGTGCAGTGTTCTGCTGAGGACTAGAAACCCCTACCCTGTCACAGACCAATTATTGGTCTGTGACAGGGTAGGGGTGTATATTCTAATTTTTATTAGTATCATGCCCTCAGTTTGCCCAAGATGCACAGCATTGCACATAACCCTTTTGCCAACCTTTCTATACATAGCCTGAGAAAACATGAATCCTTCTATCCTCACTTCCAGCCGCAACTTCCAACAGAGATTAAAGGTAAAAATAACAATGATTATTATATGTAGCTTCACAGTTGAGATCTGTGTTCTTACTCTTACTACCAGACCACTGTACTGTTCAAATCTTAAATACCTCTCTTTGAGCTACAGGAAGTGGCATGCACTTGAAATCTAGTCCTAAACACATCATGAAAAATCATGGAAAGCATAATGATTTGATGTCAAAATGTTCAGGTTTAGCAGACCAGTTATGCAAACTGACTTTTGCACCCAAATTACAACACAGTTGTTATTGTGTTACTGACTTGTCAAAATGTTTTCAGTAAGTGGAAATTGTTGCTTGAGGGGAATTTATTTCGAATTCTACTCAGAGAATTTTACGACATCAACTATCATCTTCTATTGTTCACCACCAAATTTTCTCCACTTCTTATTGGTTTATAGTCTCCTTCACAGCCGTTATTAGGGTTGTCACACAATGCTTCTCCCCCATGTGACAGTGTTCATCGGCAGAGAGAGACTATCACATTTGCACATTTGCCCTCGATGCTTCACTTCTCAGGCAAATATTGGTTTAAAGAACATCAAATTTCCGAGGGGCAACGATCAGCCAATAGTTCCTCTAAAGAAACACTCTATTGATTGCTTAAATAGAAACTGAGAGCAGATAATCTTGCTGTTATTCAAACTCGAAACAGAAGGCCAAACAATATACAGAAAACCTCACCACAAAGTTACAAAACTCAAATCAAAATTCTCACTTATCCTGGGTTAGCTTAATCGGGCTTTGAAGAACCTGGCCCAGGAGCTCCACTTTTAAGCTTGGCTAAATCTATATATTATGATTCTTGAGCTGGCTTGTGGAAGAAATTTAGTAGTGAACTATAAAGCAAGAGGGTGTGTTTACATTACGGTTAGCCTAAATAGTGCTCCATTTAGCCTAAATAGCACTCAGGTTAGCCTAAATATCACTGACTTGAGAATGGCTAGCTCTCAACAATTGTACAGGTAACCCTTTTAGACACCCATTTTGTCATTTCGCCATTGCGTGTTTCAAACACACCCCAATAAAGACAATAGCGTGTTTATGTGAAGGTTTATGTCTGACGGTCCCCCCTTGGAAATGTGATGTTCTTCAAAGTAGCACATTTGCCCTTGATGCTTCGCTTCTCAGGCAAATATTGGTTTAAAGAACATCACATTTCCGCGGGACAACTATCAGCCGATTGTTCCTCGACAGAAACACCCTATTGATTGTTTAAATGGGAAACTGAGAGCGAATAATCCTGCTGTTAAATTCGTTTGTGGAAATAAAATTGTGTTAATTTACTGTTAGAGTATGTAAATATTGTACATGACTTCCAGCTAACGGGAAAAAAAGAATATTTAGACATCAAGATTACTTCCTTCTAGTTCCGATTAAAGCTGTGTGTATTCAACACAAAGGATTAAAGCTGTGTGTATTCAAAAATCGGGTTGATTTATTTTGTGTGGTGTGACATGTCTATTGTAGACAAAAGAAATCAACGCACTGTTTTTACGTTTAACGAGCATACCAAACACCGCAAAATGATAAAAACATCCTTGGAACATTTTACACCATTCCATACAGAAATAAGATATTGCAAATTCTGCAAATATCCCGAAATCAATAAGCTACGGTCCGTTGAAGTTGAATGATAAGCGCTGTCACGCAGGCCAAGCTACCTGCAAATTGCGCTCAATAGCCTCTTAGGATGACACCTAAAACAAGTACTAAGACATCTAATTGCTCCACAAAAACTCTCAAACTCACCTTTCTAAAAAGCGTTGAATCTCAAGCTTCGCGACAGCGAAAACGTGGTTTTATCAGGTGATCGAAAGGTGACCGATGATCAGGAGGCCATCGACCAAAAGATTTGCGAAACAAAACCGCGGTCAGCTGGGGCGAGAAAAAGAACACGTGCCATTTCCATGCTAGCGGGAGGACAAATATGGAGGAAGCGGCTTCGTCCAAAAAACAAAGCAAATGTCGCCCGTCACAGAATTCCCAAAAGATCGCCAAGGGACATGTACACGCCCTACAGTGTCTTAACAGAATGGAAGAGTTTAGAGCGAGCGAAATCCTTTGTGATGTTGCTCTTGAGAGTAGCGACGGAGCACTTTTCAAAGTGCACAAACTTGTTTTGGCTTCTTGTAGTTCATACTTTCAAGCAATGTTCACCAATGAAATGAGAGAATCGAAAGAGGAAAAAATCAAGATGGCCTTGGACTCGCATGTCTTGAAAGTTTTGGTCGAATTTGCGTACACGTGCAAGATGGAACTGAAATCTCTGGCTGATGTCAAAGCTGTGCTTGTGGCCGCGAACATGTTGTTGTTCTCCGGTGCGGAAACTATTTGCGTGGAATTTATCACGAAGAAAATCAACACCAGGAACTGTGTTGACATCATATCATTTGCAGAGGTGATATCAAGTGAGGAATTGTCAAGAAATGCGTTTGAATTCATGGAAAAAAATTTTGTGGAAATAAGCTCTCATAAAGGTACTGCAAAGGGTCTGGGTCGGGTGGGGGATTGGACGTGGAGGGGTGGACTGGGCTGGGATTTTTGTCCATTTTAAAAGCTATAACTACCAAGTGTGACCCAAGGGTGCACAGGTCTAGTTGTAGAGGAGAGGTCTATGAGAATGCATCCCTGAACAAGGCAACTGCAAATTATTATTTCTTCAGTTGGTGGGGTATAGGGGTGAGGGTTACACCCTCCTCACCTCCCCCCTCCTCCCTGGATCTGCTCTGCATTTCTCATCCCTCCACCATATGAGATCATTACTTAGTTTTTTAATTACAAAAATCTAACCCCAGTAGGTGGTGCAAAAATTGGGTGCCTATCACTACCACAGGCAGCATTTTCATCTAAACCCCTCTTACTTTGGCAAATTCCAAAATGCTCAAACCTCCACAC